GAGTCTACACTGCCATATAAATGCAAAATATCCCAAACTCTAGTTTTCCAAGTGTTTTGGACTCCACCTCCCAGGATCCCTGGTCATTGATCAACTCAACTGAGGCTTCTGGGAGCTGAAGTCCAAATAAGCTGCAACACTAGTTTGAGAACTTATAGGCCCTGTCCACACAGCTGAATACAATCCCACATTTTCTGCTTTGAACTGGATTATATGGCGGTGTGGACTGAGATAACCCAGTTCAAAGCTGATACTGTGGGATTTTCTGTGGGTTATATGGCTGTGTGGAAGGGCCCATAGAAATCTAACAGTGAGCAGAGTCCTTGCTTGCTTGCTTTCACCCTGAGGCTAAGTAACTGAATAGCTCGCACTGTAACACCTAGGAAGTCTCAGTCCCGCCCCTATTCTCGTAACCCCACCCCCTTTCCGTCTCATTGGTTCAAGGAGTGACTGGCCACGCCCCCTCGCCAACTCTCGCGAGAATCTCGGGCGCGCAGAAAGCGGAGGAGGGGGCCTCAGCACACCACCGCCAGCCTCGCGAGTGGGGAGAGCCCCGTGAGTTGGCGGAGCGACCCGGGGCCCGGCCGTGAAGGCGGGGAGGAAAGCCGCGTTGCCTCTCCTTTCTGCCTCCGTTGCCCGCGGTGAGTTTGGCCCGCTGCCTCCGCCCGCTCCTCTCCTCTCCTCCCCCTCAAGAAAAACCGAACTCCTCCAAGACTTGAGAGGTGGGTTCCGCCTCACCGTGTGACGGGCGGTTGGGTTAAGCCAATCAGCGGCGCCGTTGCAGAGGACGGGCGGCCGGTAGGGCCAATGAGGACGCGCGGCCAGAATCAGGGCCCGCCCCGTCTCAGGGGGATGGGCGGGGCTTCCAGGAGCCTGCGAGGAAGCGCTTGAGGAGGGGCCCGGGCGGTGGCCCGGTTGAGGCTGCGGAGGGGAGCTCCTCAAGGGGCTGCTGAGGCAAATGTGGGCTCCATGGGGAAAGCACATACTCTAGGAAAGGACGGAAGGAAACCTGAGCGGTTTGGGATTATTATCATGGTATTGGCAGAAGTTAGGGAGAAGATTTGCTGTGAAGTGAGACCCCACAATAATACAGGATGCCCCACAAAATGTAGACACCTCCCCTCTTCACAGCTGATAGTCTCTCAGGTGATTATTTGAAAGTGAAGGGTGCATCTACCTGTCCGAACGTATCTCCTACCTCGAACCATCACAAAGTTTAAGATGTTCAGGAGAGGTCCTGCTCTCGATCCCACCACTACCTCTGAGGATGCTTGCCGTAGATGCAGGCGAAACATCAGGAGAAAATGCCTCTCTAGAACATGGCCATATAGCCCGAAAAAACCTACAACAACCCGATCCCACCACTATTGCAAGCATGGTTGATGTGGACGACAGTCAGGGCCTTCTCAGCAGTGGCCCCACACCTATAGAACATCCTCCCTAGAGATATCAGATTGGCCACCTCCCTCTTGTCTTGTAGAAGGAAAATCAACACCTGGTTAATGGGACCAAGTGTTTGATCAGTGAGCAGCAAGTGCAAGAAGATCACACAACTTATGGCAATGAATTGGCCCAGAAGGGTTTTTGGATTTTGATTTTAATGGATGTGTCTTAATTAATTGTTTTAATTTTTAATATTTTGATTGTACTGTGGTTGTTTTTATGGTGCTAGCATCGTATGATGCTTTTGTTAGGCCGCCCTGAGTCCCCTTTCAGGGGGAGAAGGGTGGGGTATAAATGTAGGAAATAAATGAATAAATAAAATACTACACCTTAGGTTTAATGCAGTTTGACACCACTCTAGTTGCCATGACTAGGAGCAATGGAATCCAGTTTGGTAAGGCCCCAGCACTCTTTGGCAGACAAGCCTAGAGACCTTATGAAACTGCAACTCCTATACCTCCATAGAATTGAACCATTGTGTTGTCAAAGTGCATTATTTCTACAGTGAAGATGCACCCCTAAGTCTGCGCATTTATCTTGAAGGTGAAATGTTATAATTGATAGGGAATTTTCCCAAAAATAACAGAGCATCCAAAAGTACAGACAGGATACTTAATTGAACAGTCAGCTCACAGCAAGTGGAAAGGTGAAGTGTGTGGCAGCAAAAGTATTTTTGAGCTTAGCAGGCAAAGATGCAGAGTCCAGTCCTTAAAAATTACCAAAAAGGTTTATTTACAAATAAGAATCACATTGTGTTGTCCAAAGCTTTCATGGCCAGAATCACTGGGTTGCTGTGAGTTTTCTGGGCTGTATGGTCATTTTTCAGAAGCATTCCCTCCTGACATTTTGCCTGCATCTATGGCAGGCATCCTCAGAGGTAGTGAGATCTGTTGGAAACTAGGCAAGTGGTATTTATATATTTATATATTTTTCAAATGTGCGTTTGAGGCAAGCGTGAATGTTGGAATTGACTACCTCGATTAGCATTGAATAGCCTTGCAGCTTCAAAGCCTGGCTGTTTCCTGCCTGAGCATTCCAAAATATATAAACCCCACTTGCCTAGTTTCCAACACATCTCACAACTTCTGAGGATGGCTGCCAACACATCTCACAACCTCTGAGGATGGCTGCCATAAATGTGGGAAAAAGTCAGGAGAGAATGCTTCTGGAATGCAGTCCAGAAAACTCACAGCAATCAAAAACTACATTCCTTGATAGGAAAGAATTGGATCTAAGTTTCTCTCTAACTCTCTAACTTCTAATTTCCAAAACAAGAGAAGAAACATCCAAACACTACATTTCTTCAAACACACAGAGTAGAGTGGGTTCTGAGTGCAAAGATGAAAAACAGAAGTCTTAAACAAACACATGCAACTTGAAGAGTATTCATGCTACACCACCAGTCAGGATAGGAATAGAAAGAGGGAGAATGAATAGATATATTCCAACTGACATTCAGGAGTCGGAGGGTTCCCTCAGCCTATTCTAAAGCTAACTAACTGTTCCTCATTGAGGCCTGCAGACTTGGGCAGTGTGAATTCCAACAGTAATAAGGATCTAATCAGACTTACAAATGGCACCTGAAATTACAGTTTGATGGCAGTTCTTCTGATAGTTGTCCCTGCATTGCCATCGACTGTTCTCCTTGTCACAAAGTTGCAAATGCTGCTAAAAGCTTCTCTTGTTAATTTGTAACACTTCTCTCCTGTTGGGATCCTATTAATCCTGTTAAGGATGTATCCTTTTTTTAAATTGGGAGGGGAGAAATTCCAGAATTGCTGCGATCATTGCATCCAAGAAGTAATTGATGCTTCCCTGCTCTTTCTGGACCGTGTTCCTGATGGGATGTGGCTCACAGCACCATCCAGAAGGAGGAGGTGAATGACATTTTCAGTGCCGCCATCGCTTTCTTGCTTGTTCACACTTGAAGCAACTTCTACTTATTTTCATATAGCAACCTTTTTCTCTGAGTGGCGATGGGACACAATCCAAAATACTCCTTAGAGCATGTAGGAAGCTGAATGAGGTGTTACTTGCTCTCCTTGTCTGAGAGAGATACAGGGAAACAGAGGTGTTTTGGTTATTGGTACAAGAGGTGGCCGCCCGGCTGTACACACTTTTGACACATCTCAGGAATAGTAGTGGCTCTTGCTCCTACCTGGGAATTTGTATTAGTGGGCCTACCAAGATTTAGAAGAGAGGGGTGCTGGCATCTTGGAGCAAGGTAGGAGACGGAGTGTCAGGTTGGCTCCCTTTTCTTGAAACATAATGATGGTTGGGTTGTAGTAGTTTTTTTTCGGGCTATATGGCCATGTTCTAGAGGCATTTTCTCCTGACGTTTCGCCTGCATCTATGGCAAGCATCCTCAGAGGTAGTGAGATGAGGATACCTCTGAGGATGCTTGCCATAGATGCAGGCGAAACGTCAGGAGAGAATGCCTCTAGAACATGGCCATATTGCCTGAAAAAAACAACTACAACCCAGTGATTCCGGCCATGAAAGCCTTCGACAATATAATGATGGTTGATTTGGGCTTCCACATCATGATCTATGACAGAGATGGGAAAAATCTGATACAAAATGGTTCAAAATTAGACAGATATTCTTGTGTTGTGTAGATAGTGAGTGTACTAACAGCTAATAGAACTAGAATTCTTTCACCTAGCTTTCCAAACTCTTCATGGGTTGGATGAGTATTTATTTATTGTATCAGAAGTGAACCAAAGGTACAGTTGTAATGTAGTTTTGAAAAAAAAACAGAGTTTAAAAACTTGTCCTTTGACCAATAGCTGGCTACTTGGAGTGCCTCTGGTGTTGCTGTAAGAAGGTCTTCCATTGTGCATGTGGCAGGGTTCAGACTACATTGTAATAGGTGGTCTGTGATTTGCTCTTCTCTACACTTGTATGCCATGGACTCCATTTGTGGCCCCGTTGTTGGCTCTGCATTCATGGTGCCAGAGCGCAGTCTGTTCAGCGCCTTCCAAGTCGCCCGGTCTTCTGTGTGCCCAGGAGGAAGTCTGTCATTGGGTATCAGCCATAGTTTGAGGTTCCAGGTTGTAGCCTGCCACTTTTGGACTCTTGCTTGTTGAGGTGTTCCTGCGAGAATCTCTGTAGATCTTAGAAAACTTTTTCTTGATTTAAGGCATTGGTGTGCTGGCTGATATCCGAACAGAGGATGGGCTGGAGATGTCACTGCCTTGGTACTTTCATTATTGGCTGCTACTTCCTGGCGGATGTCAGGGGGTGCAATACTGGCTAAACAGTATAATTTCTCCAGTGTTTTAAGGTGTATACAACCTGTACTGGGTGGGTGAGTGGAGCCAATGATTGCTGACTTTCCTGAGCTGGCAACCAAACAGTGAAAATAACCATAAAGTGCATTTTCGGCCCACCTCATTTTGTCACTGGGCAAGTGGTTTGTACATTAGATTATGACTTTGGAGTAAAGGGTTTTAATCCTTGTTCAACTCAGAAACCTACTGTGTTATGTAAGCAAGTCACACTCTTTCAGTCGCAGAGGAAGTCAATGGTAAGCCTCCTCAGCCTAGAAACCCCTGCTATAGATTCGTCTTAGGGTCACCATCATTTGGAAAGAACTTGAAGGCATACAACAGCATCAAATCTTTGCAAGCAATTGTTATTTCTGTTTGTGTATGTGTGTGTATTCACAGAACTGTATTAGAAAGACTTAGTTTGTTAGCCAGCTGGTTTTATGCCATTATATTGGGAATCAGGTAATAGTTATAATTTCAGACAACCTATCTGTTCTTCCTGTGCTCCATCTTAAAATAAATAGTCTCATTACTGTGACAATAAAATGCCCTTATTTATAATTAATTGTTGTTTAGTAGTCATAACAGATTTTTAACCATCCCACATGTTATTGGTGCAGGGTATTATATGCAGTTTATATGGGTGCTGCAGGATCAGTAGCAGACTGGGCCTAAAAATATTGGTTGCCAGGAGACAAAGGAGACATGGCATTCACAACTATAAGGCTGAGCTTCATGGTGAAGTCACAGTAGTGAAGATTTGAGCCTATATAACATGCATCAGCTTCACATAACTTGAATTGGGGGATACTTATTTAGAGTTATTTATCATATAACGTATCCTTAATATGATGTTAGTATTATTTTTAATCCAACTTATATTTGTATACAGTAATAATATTTGAACTCCTATTATATTTTCAAACTACTAAAAGGACATTAACATATTTAACATATTGTGTATGTTTTGTGGGGGGTTGCTATTAGGCAAGCAGACACCCTGGCCT